ACCACCGCACCAGTCTTGTCTATTCCCGACCCGACTTTGGAGTTCACGATTTATAGTTACACTTCGAAGATGGGTTTAGGTTGCGCGTTGATGCAGCAAGGGAAAGTTGTGGCCTACGCGTCGAGGCAGCTGAAGCCTCATGAGCAGAACTATCCCACGCACGACCTAGAGCTAGCCGTAGTGGTCCACGCCTTGAAGATCTGGAGGCATTACCTTTACGGAGGAAGTGCTAGATTTTCACGGACCATAAGAGCCTGAAGTACATTTTCACTCGGAAGGAGTTGAACATGCGGCAGCGCTGATGGTTAGAGTTGGTCAAGGACTACAATTGCACGATTAGCTACCATCCTGGGAAAGCTAATGTGGTCGTGGATGCCCTTAGTCAGAAGAGTCATGGCCAACTGTCTTGCCTATTCACCGGGCAAGATGTCCTAGTTCGGGAGTTTGAGCGACTACAGTTAGAGGCAGTGGAGTTGACTTCGACAGTCGGGGGTATGTTGACCGCCTTGGTTGTGGGACCGACTCTCCGTGAGAGGATAGTCGCCGAGCAGCCGAACGACTGTTTTCTGTGCCGGATGAAGGAGTTGATGGAAGCCGGCAAGGTTAGAGGATTTGCGTTCGCATCTGATGGAGCATTGGTCTTCGAGGGTAGACTATATGTTCCGAAGGTGTGGGAATTGCAGAAGGAGATTCTGAGAGAAGCCCATAGTGCCCCGTACACCATCTATCCTGGTAGCTCGAAGATGTACCAGGACCTCCGGAAGTCATTTTGGTGGCGAGCCATGAAGAGGCAGGTAGCCCGTTTCGTGAATGGTTGTCTAGTGTGTCAGCAAGTGAAGGCTGAACACCAGAAACCAAGAGGGTTGTTTAAGCCACTAGAGATTCTCATGTGGAAACGGGAGCGACTCACCATGGACTTATTTGTGGGATTGCCGAGATCGAGGTCCGGTCACGACTCCATTTGGGTGATTGTGGATCGACTCACGAAGTCCGCCCACTTTTTGCCCGTCCGGACGACTATGAAGGTTAGTGCGTATGCCGAGTTGTTTGTTGACGAGATTGTCAAACTTCATGGGATGCCTGTGGAAATTGTGTCTGATCGAGACCCGAAGTTCACGAGTCAGTTCTAGAGGACTCTACACCAAGCCATGGGGACAAGGTTGGAGTTCAGCACCGCCTTTCACCCCGAGACAGATGGTCAGTCGGAGCGGACGATCCAGTACTTGGAGGACATATTGAGGGCAGTGGTCTTGGACCAGAGCATAACTTGGGAGACTGCCCTTCCATTGGTTGAGTTGACTTACAACAACAGCTATCACTCCTCGATCAAGATAGCCCCTTATGAGGCGTTGTACAGACGGAAGGTCCGGACGCATTTGTATTGGGATGAGGTTGAGGAGAGAAAGATCATGGATCTGGAGTTCATTCGTAGGACTTCGGAGGCTGTTGAAGTGATCCAGAAGAATATCCGGTCTGCACATGAGAGGCAGAAGGTCTATGCCGATCGGAAGAGGCAGGAGCATGAGTATACAGTGGCTGACCATGTCTTTCTGAAGGTCCCGCCCATGAAAGGTGTGATCCGCTTCGGAAAGAAAGGGAAGCTTCGGCCTCGCTATATCGGACCCTTTGAGATCCTTGCCCGAGTCGGGGACTTAGCTTATCGGCTGGCTTTACCACCGGATTTGTCGGGAGTGCATGATGTGTTTCACGTCTCGATGTTGCGTAGATACGTGCATGACCCCGACCACGTGGTGGACTTCGGCGAGCTGCAGGTCGAGCGAGACCCTACCTATGAGGAGGTGTCGATTGCCATTTTGGACCAGAAGGTCAATCAGTTGAGGAACCGGGCGGTGAGTCTCGTGAAGGTGCAGTGGAGCCGACATGATGAGTCTGAGGCGACTTGGGAGAAGGATGTCGAGACTAGGAGAAGATATCCGAACTTCTCGTTTTGAGTCTCTTGTATTCTTTTTCTTTAGTTATGTTTCTTTTGTTTTCGAATCCCGAGGACGGAATTCTTTTAAGGTGGGTAGACTGTAATGCCCCGTTTATTTATGAATAATTATGGATTATTTGGGATTGATTTACCATTAGTGTTATTATTATAATTATTATTATTACTATTATTAAATGTCCAATATTATTTAATTGTCAAATTGTAATTAAATGCCTAACTGTCTAAGTGTTATTATTATTATTTAATTAAAATGTGTGAATTTGTATTATTATTAATATTACTATTTTATATTTAATTGTGTGTATTATATATATAAATAAAATCCGGTTTATCTAATCTATTGTGCGATTTATTTGAGCCCGAGAAAAACCGTAATTCCCGAATCGCCCGCATTGAACCAAAAACGCGACTCGACCTGGTTTCACCCTTCCAGAACCGGCCCTCCCGTGAGAGTGTATGTGTGTGTGCGTGTTTCTTGTGTTGAAAGAAACAAAACCCTACATCTATATATATCTCTCGTCTCTCTCTCGTCAGATATATCAACTCGCAGCTTTCCTATTTGTCTCTCGATCTCTCACGTCTTGAGCAGAGAAGAGAAATCTGCTTGCTCGTTCTTTTTCTCTCGTCGAAGAAGAATAACCGATCAGTATAGAAATACCTCTTCCTCATCGTCTTGTTCATCTAATCTCTCGCAAATTCTGATCACCATCCTCCCCATACTTCCCGTCGCCACCATCATCCTCCTCGTCGTAAACCAGCGACCACCACCGCGGCCTGCAACCAGTCGCTGGAGAGCCCTTCTCCTCCGCGACGAGCCACTGCAACGCCTCCCCTGCTCGCGACACCACCATGCAAATCCCGTCGCGCCGTGATTCCCCCGCCATGCCGCGACCAGAGCCCCCGCCACGCCGCGACCAGAACAACACGCCACGCCGCGAGCCCTCCCCTTCACGCCGTGAAGTCCTTGCCACGACCAACCGTCTCGTCGCGACTCTCTGCCACGACCAGTAGACCACCGACAGCCGCTGCTCCTCCTCCGCGAGCCGCGTGTAAGCCGTCAAGCGCCACCGTGTGTTTGCCGTCAACCCCGGTTGCGTCCCTCTGTTGATCATGAAGCTCGTGTAAAAATTTCATAATTTTATTGGGTCTCTAGCTATTTTAATTAATAAAATTGATTTCTGGTCAGATTTGAGTTAAATGCATAATAAATTGTGTAGTGCTCCAAATTGGCTGAAATTCGAGTATGTTGTGTCTCTGGCATGTTTATTTGTTGTTTAAGATTTTCAGAATTTTTGGACTCTTTTAGCTTAGGTAAATAATGTATTTTGTGATTCTGCCGAAAATTGTTTTAATTTTGATAAATTGATCTGATGCTGTAAAATTCTGATTTTTGGTTGAAGTGCTTTTTTGTGATTTATCTTATGCTGTAAAAATATTAGAATTTTTAGAGTTCATTTAGGTTCAGTTCTGTTGAAAATTCAAAATCTGCTGAATATTGTTACATTTTTATTAGTTCGCGTGTTAGGTGTTTGAAGCTGAGATTTTTTACACACTGTTGTTCACATGCTGAGGTTCCATGGATAAAAATTTCAGAGTTTGAATCATTCATTCAGTCGGGTTTTAATTTGTTGCTCGTTTTTGCTGCAAACTTGCTCGAATTTTATAAAATCATGTGATATTGGATTGTTTTTGAATCAGCCAGGACGTGGACTCCGTGGCATCTATCTGGAGGGGACAAGTACCCGTCTACTGTAAAGGAGGCTGAAACTTGGTGGTTTTGCTAATTTTTGGGAGGTGAATTTTGTGTTAAAATTTCATAACCTAACTCATTCGGCAGCTTGACCAACCTGATTATGTGATATATCGATTGGTATTTTCAAAAATGTAGTTTTTGTGTTAAAAGCTATAAACCGGTTCACTTGTTGTTCTTGAAACTTGTTTTGATTGTCATTATTTGAAATTGTGTGGCCTCCAATATATGGTTTGGTCGAGTCTATGTCCAAGAGTTCCAAAGTTCACAGGACTTCACGACCAACTTAGTCGAATCAAGTTCGGCTGAGTCTGATTGTGTTTTCCTTTATAAGTCAAGATAGGATGTTGATCTTAGTATCTTGACTTAATGTAGGTGCTTTGAGGTGTTGAACCTCACCCTTCGTTCGAAGCTCGTACTTGTGATTATCGCGTCAACCAGATGTGTTGTTATTCTAAAATTTGCTATGCTGTGAATATTATTAATGTATAATTTGGGGTATGATCAATGTATGCATGTGAATCATATAGCCTTCGATGTGAGCTGTATCGGCCGTCGAGCGGTTATCCCCGTAGCTATAGAACGTACCCGTTGAGTAGTCTCCTTTTTTTAGCCGTAAGACCAGAGCTTAGGTCCCTCGGCTGGAGATCCTCGTTTGTAAGACCAAGGCGAGGCCTTGGCCGGCGGGGTGGTTTTACTCCTACTGGTTGGACACTTGATGTAAGGCCAGAAGGCTTGGGCCGTGACTTTCGATGTATAGTCGGCAGTAGTCTATGCGCAGGTGTGCACATGAGTCTTGATAATTAATATTATTGATGGGAGATTGGGATAATAAATTGATTCGTATACATGTTGCGACCATTCCTCACTTATTTATGATTACTGTTTTTATATATTGATTAATGTTTGTTGCATTGTGGTGAGCACTACTTTTTCTAATTGTGCTCACTCCCACCTGAAATTAACGTTTCAGGTTAAGTAAGACAGATACGACGGCGGAGTAGAGCGAGTGGTGATCGGTCTGTGAGACTGGTCTTATTATTTGTTATGCTTCCGCGTTATGAACTTGGAATATTATTGCATTTATGATTTTCGGATTCTATGATTGAAATAATGTTAAAGAGATGCTCCTTAAATTCTATGACTATTGTTGGAACCCGGTTTGGGTGAATGTTGAACTTTTGGAACTCGTTTTGGGAATTGGTATTATATTGATGATTGATGTTAAAATATATGAGTAACGCCACAAATATTTGAAATAAATTTTGAAAAATTTATTCTGATTTTTCTAAAAGTCCGGAATTTCCTTAAAATCAAAGTAGGCCGTTACAAATAATATTACGAGTGAAATGATGTAATATAAGAAAAAATAGCATGGTGTTGGAAAAAACTATACAGGCATTGGTACTTCTTCCCTAAAATGAAAAAATATTTATGACCTATTTACACTTCCAAAATGGAAATGGAAAGTGTTCTATCCGAACTTAAAAGCTGCAATTAGGAACACCACAAAAATTGGAGATATCAGAAAAATAATATATGGCAAGGCTTCATTCAATCCACCTCCATTAGATTCAGCCTCGTTTGATGGATAATTTTTCTTGTTTTGCACAAATGCATCAAAATAGTTTTGATAATCAGTGTTGAGAGCAGAACTGGGCGAGGTGTTGACCTTCATCATTTCCATTGCCTGCCGAAATGAAATTATTTATTCAGAGGGGCAAACTAATAAACGAAAACTAATACGGCCTACCTTGAATTGGAATCAACAATTTGTCGTCAAACACATTGATTACTATTTACTAGACAACAGTCAGTACCTTAAGTAACCACTCTTTCTTTTCCTCAACATTGAAATTCAGTTCTTTCAAAGAAATTTCTCCTTGAAAAAGAAATATTATTTTTTTCATTTAACTCTCTTACACATGGAAGGCAAAAGATATAAATTTACCTGGAAGCCAAATACGAATTGTTTAGCCTTCTTGCTCACTTTCGGACTGGGGTGAGATTGAAGTTTCTCATACATCATGCGCGCCTCATTGGATCTGTCATGCAGTTTTTCACATATGAAGCATCAGAATATACCAGCAAACTTGTCTCCTAATATTATGCTCTAGAAGGTCAAAAGGATAAAAGATCCAAAAAACAATAAATAATCACATGAAATGTTATAAACCTGCTTAATGAGTCCAGACATATAGACCACTGAAGAGCTGCTAACCCATGAAGTTCACTCTGCGAAAGAACATGTGTACGGACATCTTGAATATGAAACATTACAAGTCTACATAAAGAAATCTGAAATGCTTGATGTTAGAGAATTCAAAGTGATCTGCTAGCAGATTATATTGTGAAAACCTGATTACATATAAGAGAAACTATGGACCCAAACCACTCATTTCAATTAAGGTTGAACAACTAACTTGTTAAGTTTGTACATGTCTGGGGCCGGAATGCAACGAGTATAATTTTCAGTCACAAAACTGCAAGTTTAAATCAATTAGAGAGATCACCTGGAAAGCTAATTTCTCCATGACTTTTTCATAAAAGGGCAATGCCTCCTTCAGTTGACCGAGGTCCATCAACGAGTCACCGTCTGTCAATGCCTAATGCACGATACCACTAGAAACTAAGAAAATTGGTATAATTATAATTCTAGTTGAGAAAAAACAATAAAAGAGGCACAAAATAAAAATTCAGATGTCTTCTGGACTGCATATATTGAATAGTTTTTTACCACATAAAAACCATGATGCTTTATGGAAACAGACACATATCAGATGTCTACAGAGCATATAACTTTGCAATTTTTTTATTGTAAATTAACAAACGACCCTGTTGTACGTAAATTCAGTCACATTTTTCTGACGAGTAGAATTTCAGAATACGTTAAAAAAGTAAACAATGTCTATTAACTATGCATGGGGCATAGTTATGTACAATACTGGAAACGAGAACAGGAACCAGTGTCGTATAGTAGAACAGTAAACCATAATAATTACTTGCTATTTGATAATATAATCGCACAAAAAAAGTTGTCCCAGAGCTGAATTATTGGAGTTTGCTGCTTTGAATTTGGGACCATACTCGTCTCACCAAATAAAAACCCATAATGAAAAACATAACCGAATGGAGTATGACAAGTACGTGAAGAAATAAGATTGGAAATTTAGTTACAATGTAGATTTCAGTTTATTCAACTGATACTTACTAATTTGGCCTCATTCTATAATGCACATATGCATTTTACATGTTTATGGATGGGTGGATGGATGGTTAGCATCATAAATATTAGTTTTGGCGGGAAACTACCTCTAGAAGATTTCTATTGACCTTATACCTTCTCACATTCAGATTTTAGCTTTGGATCCATGTTTTGACCAATTTTTCTCTTGTAGGAAGCTACCAACTGCTTTGTATGTGCTTCTTTGGCAGCTCTCTCTTCTGTCGTTTCGAGTGCTTCCCCAGGTTGTATATTCCTTCCACCACCAAACTATGCACCAACGAACATAAATTAGGAAAACTACTGAGGTTAATATTTTTCAGAAAATAATTAAAATCTTAAAATGTTTCTGTAAGAAGTCTTGAAGAAATATATTAAGGATGATTGTGTACGACATACGTATCATTTTAATGTAACATATACTAGGTATTTGGTTCTTTTTAGAGATTCTCAATCTACTATTGGTGAACAAAAGGTAAAGGGTATCAGTTGATGCCAAATCGAAAACTTTCAAAGTAATTTATTATCATTTGAGAGGAATCAGTGCTTCTAGAACAGTTAACAATTTCCCTTCTATGAAACCATTTGAATACCATTCTCTGGTCATTACTCAGAAATGTTTGACAACTGCAATGAGCATACTGTTAGTCCACATGCCATCCAAGCAGTCATTCATGCAAATATACTCGAGTGATTTCCTACTGACAATTGCAAGCTTCCAGGAAAAAAAATCTAAAGACAAATTTTCACCGGATGAGAGTTCACAGGAGAACAAAAAATCAAATGATCGGCATAAATAATAAAAAAGAGTTAATTGGAGCTGGTATATCATCCACGCCACACGATAAAGCCACAAAAACATACTTGAAGTTGATTAGGCTGATCATTGAAGCATAGAATCAGAATTCAGAAATATATGAAAGCACAACATGGAATATACAGATCACCACTAAAAGTTCCATTAAGATGATATAAATCCGATTCACATCATAAGAGATCTTAACTGTTTTTGAAATGTTGCTTGGTCTTGGAAAAAGTCCCCAAGTGGAAACCTTAGGCTTATAGACATCAGCGCCATTTTCTTGAACGGGGATTTGTGCTTGTGCTGATAATGTATCATTATTAAACCTTGTCATATCTCCAACAAGTATCTCCACTTCAGGAAAATCCCCTTCTGGAAAAATGTCTGGCTGTGGAACCAAACCAGCTGGCAATCCTCTACCACTCTTCTTATCTGAGAAGTCAAGCCCCATGAAATCAATACTCGAAACTGTCAAGCCTTCCTTCTTACCAGAAATCTTGGTCGACCGCATGTTTCCGGGACTCTCAGCCCCTCTTATAAGCCCTATGTAACCGAATATAATAAAATATTTCAGGCCTAAAATAGATATCGTTTTTCTTTCCTTTTTTTTTTTGGCTTTTGTTAGCAACAAATCCCACAAATGCATAGCTAAGGGGGTGTATTCATTTGTGATTTATAAAGACTTTTTAAGATTTTTAAATATCTTGAGGTATTCATTTGAGATTTTAAAAAGTCTTTCAAAATTCTGAGGTATTTAACTTATTTAACACTAGGATTTGTTTATACTTTTTTAGATTTGTTGAGATTTCGAAAGAAAAAGCCCTATACGAAATTTCACTCCAAATCTCACTTCCACATTTCGCATGATTCCTATTAAATCTGAAAATGTTAAAAAGTCTCAAATATCAAAAAGTCCCAAAATGGAACTCAAAATACCGAACAAATACACATGTAAACACAATAGATAGTGGTAAGTACAAACAACCCAAACAAATGTTGTATTTCTGCTGGATAAAATCTGCTTGCAACTTCATAGAATGACCCAGATCATAATGGATAATCAATTAGGCTTCATTTGGGTTGATGAATTTACAGTTGCAGATTCCAAATGCTTCATGACAAATTTGATGACAGAATCTTTTAGGATAGGGCAATTTGGTTGTTTGGAGTGAATTTGAAATCTGTCCCCTCAAAATTCAAAGCCCCTTCCCTAAAGGGTGATTGCTAGTTTTTCAAATCCCAATTACCACACCAAGATGGAGCACAGAGATTGACCAAGAATAATGTCTTTCATTAACTAAATGAAAACACGCAGGAGGGGAAAGCATTTTACCAAAACCACAAATAAAAACTTCCAATATCTTTATTAAAATTCTCTTATATGCCAAGAGCAGAAGACAATCGAAGGACCCAACAATTTTTCCCAAAAACAACAATACCTGAAGCCGTAGTCGCTTCAGTTTCTCCAACTCTCCCAGAAGCATTACCCACAAAACCTTTATTCCTCTTATACTCTTTTGCTCTCTCCATAGCACGTTTAACCACTGAAGAAACCTCTTCATCCTTTTCGTTCAATTGACCACAGTCCACGCCAGAATTTTCAACTGCATATGAAAGACTGTTAGTTGTCCCATACTCCTTCCCCGGTTCCAGCGCGGGCTTAACCGGAGCATCGCCACTAATTTCAGTAGCTTTGGCATCATATGGTTCACGAGGAGGCTCGAGAACAGGGTTTGAAGTCAGCTTGTTTTTCTTGTACGCTTTAGCTTTGGCAAATGCGAGCTTAACACGGTCAATTTCTCCATTGGGTTTGGATTCCGGGGAATTTTCCAGAGAAAGGGGAGGTTCGGAATCGGAGGATGAGATTTTGGAGGTTTTGAAAGTTGAGAAGTTCTTCTTCGGATGCGCAGAGAATGAGACTGTTGTTTTCTTCTTGTTGATGGGAACGAGAGAAGAGAACGCAGGTTGTGTGAACGAGGCCATTGAAATTGAAACGAATGGGGATTGGGGGGGCCTGCGGTTCGTACTAAGACTGCACCCTCTACTGTGTTATTTATTGACCATTTTCTTTAATCTAATGGCTTACTTGTTATCTATATATATATATATATTAAAGTGAAGCAGCTAAAATTTTCCTCCAAAAACTATATTAATTATTAGAAATAAATTTTACTAATTTCTATGTAAAATTTTCATCAAAAACTACATTTACTACATTGAAATAAATTTTTATCAATTTCTATGCATGATTTATCAATAAAAAAATATTTGTTACTACATATGAATAATTAATTTGTATTCATAATTGTATTGGACTTTGCACTCCAATTTCTCTTGACTAAATAAATGTTTCAACTACTTATATGACCATGAAACAAATTTTATTAATTTCTATGTATTATTACCATTCAAACAATATCATAATTATTTGTTACAAATAAATACTTATTTTAGTCATAATCAATTATTGTACAAATTTTCATTAAATATTTTTATGCTTTGTGAGTGACATAATTATTTGTTACAGATAATATTTAATACTATACATAATTTTATTATGAATTCTCATTTCAATATCTCACTTATTATTTGTCTCTCTTCCCATTTGTGAGTATGAGTTCCTTTTCTTATATATTATATTTTTTCTTATAAAAGTAAATTATCAATCTCATTTAATTAATCATTAAAATAATTTTTAAAGTAAATTTTTTATTTAAAATCATTTATTTTTTTATACATATTTATTTATTTTTAAATATCAAACACAATATTAATTTTTTCGGTTATATTCGAAATATTTCAAGGTAAAATAGAAAAAATCATAATTAATACAATACTGCATGTAATATAATAAATAAATATTTTTATAGTTTTTAATTTGGTATCTATATTGCATATATATAGATAAACTTTTAGATTCGATATGTCAATTTAAAATTCTATGTCGTTTATTTTAACATACACATGTTCAATGTTTACATATAAATATCTAATAATAGCACTAGGTCACGTTTGACACATATACTCTAATATGATGGAATTTTCGTACACATTAATAAAATATGTAATCATCTCTTATTAATCTAATATTATATTATTTGAACCTCTATGTAATTCTAGGAAATTATAAGTAACCATTAAATTATTTGTATAGAGTACCTCATTCCTAAACAATATCTTTTAATTTAAATTGTAAAAAGGTCTAATCATTCACAAACTCTTATGTGAGCTGGAGTAAGGTTTAGTCAAGTCAACGTATCATTCTTTTTTAACAAAAATGCGAACTTAGACTTCTAAATTTCATACTTTTGTTTATTTTATTTTATAATATATTTTTTAAAATAACAAATGCAATACAAATAGAGAGAGATAAAAAATAATGAAGTTATATTTATCATAAATAATACAATTTATTCAACTAAAAAATGTATATTTTTTTAAATATCATCTATAGTTTTTGGGGATGACCCTTCATATCCATATAAAATTAATCTCGAAAATGTTGAATATACTTTACTTGGGTAAAAGAAACTTCAAGAACTATATGGATTGAAGTTTCTTTTACTAAAACCATGAATATGAAAACAATGAAAACAAAAGAAAAGAAAAATAAGACATCTTAAAATTCGAAAATATCATGAAATCGACTGTATTTTATAGATAAACAATAGACTAATATTTCAAAACTGATATTGTAAAAAGAAAACAAAATCCACAAATGATAGTGTACAAAAAAAGAGATATGACATCATTTCAAAGAGACAACTCATGGATTTGATTATAAAGGCTGAAAAGAAAAATGCATATATGTCGTTCATTTCTTCAACGAATTTTCAACTATATATTAGATCGTTTCATGTTATTTTTGGTATTTTATTATTTTAGTTGGTATAATTTGTTTTATTTATGAAAATATTGAAGAGTCCACTTAAACACATGCGCTCATAAAGTTTTCGCCATCATAATTTTTTTTATTGGTCCAAAAGTATACAACTATAATTTCTGAGGCATAACAAGTTAATTTCATTGTTAATGTTTTATTTGTATATCGTATATTGTTTTCTTAAGAATGACGATAATGTATAATCTTTATCAAAACATTGCGACATATAAAGTCCTACAACTTACTACGAATGCAACAACAATTTTTTCTTCATCATATATCACAGTTGTCAGTTTTACTTTTTAGTTTTAGACTTATATATTATTATTATTATTAAATGTTTTATTATTGATATTTAGAAATAATTTTGTATTTCTAAATAATAAGTTAATTACAATTATCTTAAATTTCATGAAAAATAAGTTTTAGCTATTGATCTAATATTGACGGTGATCATCTTGATTATTTTATTAATATAATATTATGAAAATAAAAATTACAACTTTAAAGTATATAATAAAAAATAATTCAATATGTATAAACATATATTTTTTTTTTTTGTACAATGAGGTGAACATTTATTTTCATAGTTTGTGTACAACATAAAAATAATTGATTAGTACAGACATAAATTTGTATTTTGTACAATGAGGTGAACAATTATTTTCATAGTTTGTATACAACATAAATGTAATTGATTTAGTGGTCGGACATAGCATCTAAATTTAGTTTCATTTATGGGTAAGCAATATAAGAATATTGTGATATGAAATAGAAAATGATAACAAAAAGAAAGTGATAATGTAGTTTTGACTATGATCCTGTTGATTGAATATTTTGATCCAATAATTATTTGTTTCATTTATTTTATTTGAGCTTAAATTTGAGGTTATGTAAAAGTTGGTGATTGACCTCCCTTATTTTTTTTAATAAATACACAATTATGTTGTTTATAAATAAAAATAACATAATGTGTCAATTACCGTTTAATTTTTCTTAATAAAAGCATATTACTGCAACTGAATGTTGTAGTAAATAAAGTTAAATAGAACTTATTATAATGCATTAATTACTTTTCCTTATCATCTATCACAATGTTACTTTCACAAGAATGTTTTTTTAGTATTATATAATATAATTTAAATGTCTTTTTCTTATTACTTTAAAAAAAAAAATTTCAATGTGCATTTCTAAAAATTACATTGAATTGTAATTCCCATTGATTTGTGCAATTACTCGGTCTATTTATAACTTTACGAAAAACGATCAATCTTCCACGTCATTCTCTAATCACCATCGCACTTATTTTGCAAAAAATTGAAATGTTGATATTTATTTTATTAATAAAAAGGTGAAAAATATGTTGACCTAATTTAAATTTAAATACATGCGGATAGAAGTCATTTTTATTTTTTCTTAAGTATCTAATTTATATTTATAAATTTTAATTTACTCATCTTCGTACATGTTAACTTTAATTACTAATATATTACTTTATTTGTAGAATAGTAATTATGACTTTATTTTTTTGTACCTATAGAATTATGTTATCACGTAGACATTTTTATGAAAAGTTATGAAGGAGTGTCATTAATGTGACAAATAATTATTTTTCATAATATATCACTTTTTTTTTGTAAGCTTATGAATTTAATATTTAAAATTTTAAGAAAAAAATATATTGTATTTTTTAGTTACAACAATTATTCGTTGTTATTGTTACTATAGTCACGAATCCATGTTGTCTATTGTTATTACAGTAGATGATAATGACCACAACTCATCCACTATTAATACTATATTAATGTTATATTTGTGGAGGTATATTTACTGGATTAGTAAAAAATTTAGTCTACGTTATATCAATAGATGTTTTTTAAAATATTTTTCTATTAAATTATCATTCATTTACATCATTTTTAATATTAAGCCGCGAACGCGCGGGTAACGTACTAGTTGACTTTAAATGCAAGAGCTAGACTTTTTTTTTTCCCGGAATAGCGAGACTTGTTAAGAGAGAGAGAATATTTCCCATTAAACATTTTACATTCTACAAAGAGAGACTTGTTTTAAAAATTTTTACCTACTCATAAAATTATAGTGTTACATTTTTATATTGTTTTTCTAATCTAATATTTTTATATAACAAAATTTGTAAAATCACTTAGAAAATTATATATATAGGAGAGACAACATAATAATCGATTATTTCAAGAGAGAATAAATATGTAAATTGTAATTCTAAATAAATATGTTTTTCTAAACAATGTCACAAAAAAAAAAAGGACAAAACTAGAATGTGGCTAAATTAACTAAATGGAAGTCTTTTGAAAAGTTTAGTTATTCAAAATTTTATAAGTTTCATATTTTTAATTATATATTACTTAAAAAATAATGGATTGATATTTTTTTTATTTTAGAAAGTGTATATTTTCTTTACGTTTCGGGCTCGTTTGGGTTCGTCCGAACTCGGAATTGAGTTCCGTTTTTTCCTACGCGTCGTTAACGAACACCTCTATCCAATGATGCTTGCATGACCAAATTATTCTTGAAATCATATTCTCCCAAAGCTCTTGACCTACATACTAAACGTGCTTCGCGAGACTTTGATTTTTGAGCCCGTTTTCTGCTTCTTCCTATATGCCGCCAACGAACCCATCTGCACAACCATGATTGCCCGGTAAATTTTCGGGCTAAATCTTTTCTTCACGGGGCTTCCGACCTGTACACTTAAAACAAGAAGAAAAACCAGAAAAACACACGAAAAACACATAGAAGACCAAAACAAAGGAAAACACGTAATAAACTACAAAACGAAATAAAAATTAACTAAAAGACCTAAAATTATATAAGACTTATAATACCCAATTTATTATTTATGAATTACAAAACGCAACAAAAAAATTATATGAGACTTATAATACCCAATTTATTATTTATGAATTATCGACATAAGAACTGAAATATATGTTATCATGCTCTTCACCATTCTGAACATTGAAAAAGACATAAAAGAAATATAACACCAACTTTGTTTTTAAGAAACATCCATTATTCCCCCATATCCGGATGTTTCACTATAAACTTTAAGTGCATAGATACTTCAATTATAGCTAACTTCAAGCAAGAACTTGACACAGGAGAACACAATGAAAACATTCAGGAGTATGGGAACTTTGACTAAAATGAATACTATTTCATCCTCACTTGTTCTGAAGACTAACTTCTTAAATCAACCTCCAGTTACTAAAAATTATTCACCATACCAAACAATCAAGATCACACTTACACAGTTTCCCCTCAACCAATAATATATTAATATTAATGTTGCAGTAATTTTACGAATATAAGTAAACAAAAAGAAATGATCCGGTAGACACAAAAACGAAATAAAATTACATGTCAAAACAACACAAAAGAAATTAACTACAACTTGGAATAGTCTAAACAATGACATTCTTCATAAAAAAATTACAAGATAATGATCCGGTAGAGAAAGCAAACGCCTCCTATGGGTGGTTGGTATTTCGCATCGCCACGGGATCCTACAAAAATTTTTAGGTAAACAAAAACATGTATATTAGAAAACAAATCATGCTTGGTATTCTAAAAAATATAAATTCTACTACCTCTTCAATTTGCACATTATATTTCTTGGTTTTCTTCATTCGAGCCTCATGTAAGGGCTTCCTTCTTCTTGTTCGTCGTTTCCCTTCTTTCGTCTTTAGACCTTTCAAGTTTCCAACGGCACTTTCGACATTTTTCAAGATATCACCATCTTTAGAATTTTCTTCTCTCATCGATGTCTCGTAGATTTTGTCCATGTTTTGTTCAAACATGTCCTCCATTAGGCTACGTGCAACCTCACTCTTTGCAGCTTGGTATGACATTCTCAAAAATAATGAATGCATTCTTTCGTTCCATTCCATGAAACTATGACCAATATCCTTGGATTTTGAAGGATCAAATCTCCTTGCTTTTCTTTCCCACCGACTTAAGATGTACTTATCCGAAAGCTTTAATATATCAAAGAACTTGAATACCCTCAAAATATGGGAACATACCAATCCCTTACTCTCAAACATCATGCAACTACACGTGAAAAAATCATCGCTAACACGAAACACTTGGAATTATTTATGCATAACACCATGAAGCACAATCACAAACCAAGTAGGTACCTCAATAGTCTCTTTTTCTTTAATTATAGATATCATTGATCGCTTGTACTCTTCTTGAAAAAGATGAAATATTGATGGTGTGTACCTTTTTGATGCCTATTGCAATATCGGGCACTCGGCGATGCTCATCGAGGGAACTTGTTGTCGTGCTCTAAATTCGGAAGTCAATTCCTTATCTCTTTTATCAACCACCACTCGATCAAAATGGTTAAAAAAATCACTGATATGTAAAGCACAATTCAAATGATTTTTTAAGTCTTTATTCAAACTCTCACTTAGCTGCGTACTACGAATACCCAAAGTGAAAACATGTTTCATGAAACACCTTGCCCATCTATTCTTTACAGCATAAGTCCGCTTCAACCAAGAGTTCTCTTGTAAGTCATGCTTTTGTAACATATTACTCCAAGAAGCTTCAAACTCATCAACATCAGTATACTCATACATACATCGATTAAAATCTCCCAATAAGTCGGTTTCAGGCCTATGAAAACAAGATAAATGCTTCAGTGCATTTTGATTAATATGCCACGTGCACAAGCCATGAAAAGAATCCCCCATAACTATACCGAGTGCATTAGCCATTGCTGCACCTTGATCAGTAAATATGGTGAGAGGTTTTTTTCTACCGTGTTCCCTCAAGAACGTCTCGAAGAGCCAAACAAATGACTCTACTGTCTCGTCATATAAGAGGGCAACACTCAATATGGTGATCTCTCTATGATGATTAAAACCTGTAAAAACGCCGAGGGGTCTCAACTCTTTGTTAGTCCCATATGTCGTGTCGAATGTAATAACATCCCCAAAATCAACATAATCGACTTTCATTTTACCATCAACGCAAAATATATTACTCACTAGGCTACCATCATCAAACTCAAAATCATAAGAAAATGAAGCATCTACAACTTTTTTCCTCTCGAAATACTTCATAACACTACCAAGTTCACCTAGCATTTTTTCTTTCTTTCTTCTATTTCTCAAATATGTTTTTTGATCTTCCTTAATAAATCCAAGATGCTCTCTACCACCAATCTCCCTAATCATCAACTCTTGAGTTGCCTTAGGGTAATTCCAGAATCATTTGCTATGTTGATGGCAAATGCTTGAGACATGTTTACATTTCTATTACAACGAAACATATGAACAGTTTCACTTGACTCAAGCTCATGATTATGAGTCGCCACAAAATCCTTAACAATATATTTTCCAGAAATCGGGTTTAGTGCTACATTCAACTTTGCTTGGCAACCAGTTCTTACCTGAAAGCGTTGACGGGATTTATCGTTGACCCTTTTGTCGTCTTTACGAAATCCTTCTTTATAACATACAAATACGGCATTTGTAATTACTCCATCCTTTCTCCGCTTGTTTGAATAATCTTTTCAAACACCAAAGCCTATCTTTTTGCCATATTTTTGCCAACAATCCCAAGCATCATCTACACAAATGAACTCCGTTCCAATTCGAAGGCCTTCATTGAGTATATCATCAATATTTGGAGAGCTCAAGTTGACCTCTTCAATATTTTCAGCTTCAATTCTACATTAAATACAAATAAAATTCAAAAACAAATTAAGAAAAAAATTATAAAAAATCCACAAATAAAATATGCCAAAGTACTTTCCAGAAGACAAAGAAAATATGCCAAAGAAAATATTTATACCTGGGAACACAAAGAAAATATTTGCAGCTACGTACATTAAATACAAATAAATATCCACCTCCGAAAATTGCCTTTTCAATAAAAGAAAAATACAATTCGTACATATGGAATAATGATAAAAAAATCACAATGCTGAGCCACGGAGGATTATTAAGGAGAATGCTACTGGAAAACAAATTAATTGATGATACATTTATCTAAACTAAAATTTCCAACTGAAAAGATAGGTAGCCAGTGAAGTAACATGATGGAAGAACTACAAATTATGTCCATCGCTTTAGAAAATGAAATACAACAAATAATATAATAGATAATAATCTTGCCCAGCATTGTTGGAAATGGAAAAATAAAAGAACGCTCATCACAAAAACTGAAAAATAAAACGAAGAAGAATGGAGCTGATATCTTTTTTTTTTTTTTAGAAG